GAGAGAGAGAGAGAATTTTTTAATAGTTGTTCCATGAGAAAGAGAGATTTCATTTTTGAATGGTTGTTCCATATGAGAGATTCTCATTTTGGAATCGCTGTTCCACGAGAGGAAGGATGGCCATTGAGTCAGGGGCTAGATTCAAATAGTGGTATTGGACTGCAGTTCCATATGACCTGGGTTGCGTCTCGGTCTAAATCCATTGCAGACCTAATAGTGTTGGGTTGTGTTTGGTTTGGGTCAACATTTGCCTTACCCGACTTGATATTTATATATATTATTTGTATGTATGCAACATTATTTGTATATTATGAATATTCGTAATTTTTTTTTCCATTTATCTATACTTGGACATAATCGTTCCCAATTGATTGGGTTTGGGCGCAATGGCCTAGAGCCAATAAAGGTCTGGGCCGGTTTGGGTCTAACTAGGAGCTAGTCAGGACAGGTCCATGTTGGGGTTGACCTGGATTTCACTTGAACCATTAACATCCTCCGAGAGAGGTAATAGGCCGGGACCTTGGCCTAGGCTCGTCCCATGACCCTATAGGGTGGGGGCAAACTGTGCGAAAGGGGGCCATGACCCGGTTCGGGGCCGGGGTGGGCCGGGCCTAATTAAAAAAAAAAACAAAAAAAAAAATCAGTTGGGTTAGGCCATCATGACCCTCACCCGTGGATTGGCTAGGCCCTTGGGCTACATTTTGTAGCTTTGCCCAACCTTTTTAGAATGGGGTTGACTGCGATGGGCCGGGCTGGGCCGTCCGGCCCATTGCCAGCCCTAGTCATAGGCTTTGTATATGTTGTGGAACTTTGAAAGATTGACGAAGAATTGTATTTTCTGCTTTATGGGCTTGAAGGATAGGTCAATTCTAAGTTGGTGCGCTGCTATTTGGGGATCAAGCCCAGGCATTTCATTGTAATACCATGTAAATACATCTCGATTTGCTTGAAGAAAAGTGACATTCTTCTTTCTCTTTAGGGGGCATAACTGTTGAAATAAAAGTCGGCCTTGGATCAGTTAGATCTCCCAAATTTACCTCTTCAAGGTCATTAGTTGTGGCCTGCCCACCATCTTCTAATACATTAGGTGCTTCCTTCAGTTCTACCTCTTTTGACATAAAGGAGAAGACCTGGCTTCTTGAGAATCAAAAGAAGCAATGTCCTCATTCTTAGGGACTTCAAAGAAGAGGATAAAATTTGTAAGGAAACAGTCACATGGGTCACTTGTTCTGTCATAAACGACTGGTAAGTAGACTCCATGTAGCGGAGACTTTGTTTGTGGGTGTGTTGAGATGCTGTCGATTCAATAACTGCAAATGGTGCTAATTCTCCTTTTACCATCTTTGAGACCTTGATTTGTTGCAGTCGTATAATCCATTTTTTTCATAATTTGATGAGCTTGAGGACTATAAAGATCCCATTTTGGTGCCACCACTTCGTTGGACTGGTTGAGACTTTGGGTTACCTTGAATTCACTAGTTTTTTGAGATTCTGGGGTGAATCTTGGCAAGGTGGTCACAAGTACAGAGGAAGGCGTTGTTTCTTCCATCTTGGTCTTACCCTTTCTCACAGCTTCCGTTTGGGTCATGATTTTCATTTGCCCAAGCAAGTATTGAACTTGCTCTTTCAGCTCATCAATCTGGGTCTATCTTTGTCGTTCAAACTGATGAAGGATGAGGGTGCGCTGCCCAATATCCCATGTGCCTCATGTTTATAGCTAGTTGAGTGAGTGAGGTAAGCCTTATCTTCCTCCTTGGGCGGGACTAGGATAGGCAAGACCTCGAGGATTCTTGAGGCTTTCTGGTGCAGGGGCTCAAAATGGGGGTCATTACTCTGGGTTGGGAAGATTTCGGGTATTTGTGATGTTGGACGATAGTAATGGGTATAGCTGGTTTGAGTAGGTATTCCTTCAGTTTGAGCTCTACGAGTAGCATCTGTCTTAAGAAATGAGATGGGGAGATGGAGTATTTTCGAGATGGGGAGATGGATTATTTTCTTGTTATCAGGGGTATGGGTGACCATTGGAGTTTCAATAATAGGGTCAACTGGCTTCTCCGCTCTTGGGATTCGCTCTACTTGGGCTATTGTGTGAAAAGCCTCTTGGGAAGATGAGGAGGTTTCTCCTTCATGGTATTGGGAGGTACTTCTGAGGGGGAATAAGGCAAGTTTGACTCTACAAGGGGTAAAGGGAATATCTTGCATTCTCTCTTTTCTTCTTGGAACATGCCTGCCAATAACCTAGCCATATCTTTTACATCCTCATGAGAAGTATTAGAAGTTCTCATTGTATGGCTAGTCGCAACCCCTTTAGGTGGTTCTTGCTTGGAAGGTCGTACTGGATCTGTGAAATAGTATTTTGCATCAGCATAATAGTATTCAATAGTGGGAAAGGGTCTCTTGTCGACATAAATCGTGTACTGTCTACCCTTACGGTTATACGTGAAGCATTGATGGAGTGTAGAAGGAACCACCCCATGATCATGAAGCCATGGTCAACCAAGCAGGATATTATAGGATGTATCAGTTTCTATGACATGAAACAAGGCATACTCATTTAAATCCCCAATCTTGAGATGAAGGCGAACTGTACCGGCTGGCTTTTCCCTCGATTGGTTAAAGCCTTGAACCATCAGATGCATGGGCTATAAGTTTGCATCGCTCAAACCAATGCGGGTAGGACTTCTCCTTGCGATGAGGTTTATGGCCGAACCTCCATCCAACATAATTCGGTTAATTGAATGAGCATGGAGATCTCCAGTTACAAATAACGGCCGGTTATGAAACTTTTCCCCCAACTGGAGATAATCATTTGAAAAAGTGATGACCATGCATGTGGTGAGAATTGATGGGTCTACTTCAATTGGTTCTCCTTGTTTCTCATATATTTTTGGGCAGGAGAGAGCTTGTATTAAAGCCATACGAAACTCTCTTAATAGCATTAGACCGTCATAGATGCTCAAAAGGGCTGGTAACTTCCTTAAATGCCTAAGCATGTCATACTTGACCTTGGCTTCATTCGGAAGAACAACCCCTGAAGCCCCCATTGGTTTTGGAGGAACTGCAGGTGGTGGAGTGGCTTTTGGGATTTCTGGTTGCACAGTAGGTGATGGAGGTAAGGGAGCGACTCTTGTGATGAGAGGCACTGATGTAGGTGTTGAAGAAGTAGAGGAAGGCTGGTTGGGTTGCACAGCTGGGGTAGGTGTTGGAAGAATGGAGGTTGTGGTAGTTGAGGGTTTTCAGGTTTGTTGAGAAAGGTAGGAGAAGGGTTTGGGTAAGGGACCAAGGGTGGCGCAGGATATTTGAGGAGAGGTGGCTGTACATAGGGAGTGGTTGGTGGGTTTGGATATGGGATAAGTGGTGGCCCAGGGTATTCAAGAGTTTAGGTCGTTCAGACTTTTGGTAAGGCTGAAGTCTCTGTCCTGATCTCAACTCTAGTTGGTCAGCCTCAATTGTTGCATTTCCCACTATGAGAAATACCATATGGCATGCTTCAAAAGAACTCCCTCCTTTAGAGCCTTTACAATGAGGCTTTCTCTTAGCAATAAAAGCCATAGCATCTTCTACACTCAAGAATCCTGTTTGTTGGGCAATCATCTTCTTCACCTGTTTACGATGTCGTTTGCTGGTATTACATAGTTTAAGCTCTGCATCAAGGGCATCAAAATCCAAGCATTCAAGGTCAGGTTGGGGTATGTTGGGAGAAGAAGAGTTTGGAGAGTCGGAGATAGAAGAAGAAGAGGAGATTGAAGAGATGGGGTGAGAGAAGGACTAGGAGGAATTTAGAGAATTAGAAGAAGAGTAAGGGTTTGAAGAATTAGGTTTAGAAAAGGAGAGCTTTTTGATTTGTCACTGGTATTAGTCTCCAAAAGACTTTTAATGTTTGCATTCTCATTGGACGTAATCAATGACTTTTTTACCTCATAACTCTTGTTGGACATTTGCAGAGAATCTTGAAGGTCTTCACCACATGGACTATTGAAGGGTATTTTTAGAGTCCTTGCTTTCATTGGACTGACCTAGATGCGCTCTCGGAATTTGTCCCCTTGTTGGAACATCCCGGATTATTTCAGGAACCACCATTTCGTGTTAGATCTCTTGACTTGCTTCTTGACTGTCCCTGGCTAGAAGAATTTACTTTGAAACAAAGTCATACGGGGTTGGAAGAGGAGGAATGGGAGGGAGAAAAGTTGCTTCAAGTGAAGGTTGTGGTAGCCTCCTTCTCCGGCATTGAGCCTTTGATGGTCGATTACCCTTTCCTTTCTTTTTGACTGGTGTGACCTTTCGGGGCTAGGGTGGTACAGGTACAACTTTAGCTTGCCGAATTGCCTCTCTCTTAAGGCTCTTCATCAAACCATGCCCATGGTATACTATCCAAGGCTCTGATGTCTTAATGGGCGTTTCCAAGATCACGGGTTTAGGAGGGACCACTTCTTCGAATGTTTGAAGGGACGATTGATTGGTCTCAGGTATTCTTTTTTGATGCGGCGGTAGCAAGTCAGTAACCACCACATCACCTTCTCTCATAAGTTTCTCTAAGATTGCTTTGAAACCATAACATTGTGCTAAGTCTTGTCCTCTTATCTGGTGATAGGAACACCATGAATCCCTTTTGGCCTGAATGGTGTATCTTTCCTTTCTAGGGGAATACGGATGAATCATCTCTTGTGCTACTGGCATGTCAAACATGACAGGAAGGAATTCCGGAGATATTTCATCTGAATGCACATCTTGGAATTGCTCTTCAACAATCGTGATCACATTTGAGGTTTCAGCCGCTTCAAATACTTTCTTAAGATTCCCCAGGTGAATCTGTCCTCTTTGGATTAAAGCCTCAATGTGATCCTTGAGATGGAAGCAATCCTGGACATGATGGCTAAGCATCCGATGGTAAGTGCAATAGTTTTTATTGTTGGTAAGCCCCACCTGATCTGGTCTTGTAGGTTTTGGTAATACTATCATCCCCTGTTCTAATAGCACGTAATGGATGGTTTCATCCCCTGTCCTAATAGCGTTTTTATTGTTGGTAAGCCCCACCTGATCTGGTCTTATAGGTTTTGGTAATACTATCATCCCCTGTTCTAATAGCACGTGAAGGATGGTTTTATCCCCTGTCCTAATAGCATGTATAGGATGGTTGGAACCCAATCCCTATGAAACTATATTGCTTGCTCATCCTCTGCTGAAATGAGCTGGGTTGATAAATGTTAGAAGGTGGGGGAACCTGTCGTTAGTCTCGAGGCTGTGGTGGGTTGATAGAGGTTAGGAGGTGGGGGAGCCTGTCGTTAGTCTCGAGGCTGGGTGGTCGGGGTTGAGGTTGCCCTTGCTCTTTTAACTGTTTCAGCCCTTGAGATATATCTAAGGTTTTGAGGGGTGTTGAACCAGTGGGAGGTTTAGACTGAGTTGGGGTAGCCGTGTCATAAAGTGACAATGAATCGAATTTATTGATCAAAATTCATATGCATGTGACAATGGAAAAATACAAGAAGTTTACGTATGATAATGGCAAGAGATCCATGTTTTTTTTTTTATGAATGATGATGATAAGTGGTGTCTATATGTATATATGATAAGAAACAATGAATATTTAGAATAGAGTAGAATTAATGTGAAATAAAAGAATATGAAGAAGTGAAGAGACATTATAATAAAAAGAGAAGGATGGATGTAAGAAAGAGAAATTATCGAGATAAACACGGATTGAGAGAATATGACCCAGAGACATAGATAAGGAGATACGAGAGAGGCAAAAAGAGATAAGAGTTTGAGAGAAGAGAGTGAGATAAAGATGGGAGAGAACGAGTGAAATTAGAGGGAGAAAGAGAGAAAAGTTGCGTGGGGAGAGAGCTGTAAGAGAAAGAGAGAAAAACGAGAGGGAGAGGGAAAATTAAGGGAAAGCGAGAGAGGGATATTGGGGGAGAGAAAGAAGGGAAGTAACGAGAGAGTGAGAAATAGAGAGAGAAAAGTCGGGTGAGGGATAGAAAAGAAAGATGAGAGAGATATTTACGTTGAGAGGGTGGGATTTGGAGAGATTTTTGGGAGAGAAAAACAAGGCGTGGAAGAGAGAGAGTTATGGAGAGGAGAAGAGAGAAGTGAGAGAGAGAGGGTTCGTTGCGGTGATTGAGAGGGGATTAGGTGTAGAAGAGAAGAGGGCAGCAACCATGAAGAAAGGGGGAGAGCGAGGAAAGTAGGCTGGGCCCGTAGCCACATGAGGATGAGAGAGCGTAAAGAATAGGGGGAGAATGGGCTGCGCCCGTAGCTTAGGCCGTGGAAAACGGGGAAAGTAGGCTGGCCTGGTAGCCACATGAGGATGAGAGAGAGAGAGAGTAAGAAAGAGTAAACAACAGGGGGAGAATGGGCTGCACCTATAGCTTAGGCTGTGGGCACGTGAGGGTGAGTTGGGCCTGCAGCCTAGGCTGTGGGCTCATGAGGTTAAGAGATAAAGGAAATAGAGGGGAGAGAGAGAGAAAGAAAGTTTGAGAGTGATAGAGAGATAGAGAGAGTTGCATGAAAGAGAGGGGGAGAAAGATAGACGTGAGAGAGAGTTTTATGGAAGGAGAGAGAGAGTTGGAGAGATTTATGGGGGAGAGGGAGAGAGAGATACAAGAGAGGGTGAATTTTCGTGAGAGAGCGAGAGATAAAAAGTGAGAGAAAGAGATGGGTTGCGTGAAGAGAGATAGAGAGAGAGAAAGAGAGAAAAGAGGGGGAGAATGAGCTGCGTGAGGGTGAAGAGAGATAGAGAAAGAGAGAGAGGAGGGGGCGAATGAGTTGCCAGAGGGTGAGGGAGAACGTAAGAGAGAGTAAAGAAGAAGGGGAGAAGTGATTGGACCTGTAGCCTATCCTGCGGGTCATGAGGGTGAGATAGAGGATAAGAAAGAGAGAAGAAGAAGGGGAGAAGTGGTTTGGCGCACTACTTAGACTGGGCCTGTGAGGGTGAGAGAGAGAGTAAGAGAGAGAAGAAGAGGGGGTGAGGGACAAGGTAAGAGAGTAAAGAAGAAGAGGAGAAGTGGCTGGGCTGTAGCCTAGCCTGCGGCCTGTGAGGGTGAGAGAGAGAGTAAGAGAGAGAAGAAGACGGGTAGAAGTGGTTGGGTTAGCAGCCTAGACTGTGGGCCCATGAGGGTGAGAGAGAGAGAAAGTAAGAGAGAGAAGAAGAGAGGAAGAAGTGGCTGGGCTTGCAGCCTAGACCGCGGGCCTATGAGGGTGAGAGAACGAGAAAGAGTAAGAGAGAGAAGAAGTGAGGAAGAAGTGGCTGGGCCCGCAGCCTACACCGCAGGCCCATGAGGGTGAGATAGTGGGTAAGAGAGAGAGAACAAGAGGGGGAGAAGTGGTTAGGCCCGCAGCCTATACCGCGGGCCCATGAGGGTGAGAGAGTGGGTAAGAGAGAGAAGGAAAAAAGTGGTTGGGCCTGTAGTCTAGACTGCGGGCCCCGTAAGGGAGAGAAAGAGCTGCAGGCCCCGTGAAGGAGAGAGAGAGAGTAAGAGAGAGAAAAGTGGCTAGGTCCGCAACCTAGACCGAGGGCCCATGAGGGTGAGAGAGAGAGAGTAAGAGAGTGAGAAGAAGAGGGTGTGAAGTGGCTCAGCCAAGAGCCCATGAGAGTGAGAGAAGAAGAAAAGGAGAGGTAGTTGGGCCCACAGCTTAGACTGCGGGCTCGTGAGGGTGAGAGAGAGAGAGAGAGTAAGAGAGAGAAGAAGAGGGGGAGAAGTGGTTGGGCATGCAGCCTAGACCATAGGCCATGAGGGTGAGAGAGTGGGTAAGTGAGAGAAGAAGGGGAGAAGTGTTTGGACCTGCAGCCTAGAGCGCAGGCCCATGAGGGTGAGAGAGTAGGTAAGAGAATAGACTTTTTATATTCATACATTTTCTCAATATATCTCAGGATTTTTATTAAAACGAAATGTCCAAATTTGAAGGGGAGTAGTGGCTAGGCCCGCAACTTAGACTGCGAGCTCGTGAGGGTGAGAGAGTAAGCGAGAGAGAAGAAGAGGGGGAGAAGTGGTTGGGCCCACAGCCTAGACTGCAGGACAATGAGGGTGAGAGAGAGAGAGAAGAAGAGGGGGAGACGTGGCGGGGCCCGCAGCCTAGACCGTGGGCCCATGATGGTGAGAGAGTGGGTAAAAGAGAGAAGTAGAAGGAGAGAAGTGACCGGGCCTGCAGCCTAGACTGCGGGCTCGTGAGGGTGAAAAAGAGAGTAAGAGAGAGAGAAGAAGAGGGAGAGAAGTGGCCGGGCCCGTTGCCTAGACCGCGGGCCCATGATGGTGAGAGAGTAAGAGAGAAAAGAAGAGGGAGAGAAGTGGCTGGGCCTGCAGCCTAAACCGCGTGCCCATGAGGGTGAGAGAGTAGCTAAGAGAGAGAAAAGAAGAGGGGGAGAAGTGGTTGGTCCCTAAGCTTAGACCGTGGGCTCATGAGGGTGAGAGAGTGGGTAAAAGCGAGAAAAAGAGAAACCGATAGTGGAGGAGAAGAGAGAATATTTGTGAGAGAGAGAGTGAGATATTTGAGAGAAAGAGAGAAGAGAAGATTTGGGAGAGAGGAGAGAGAGATAGAAGGGAACATTTAGAGAGAGAAGAAGAGAGATGATCGAGAGGGGGAGAGAATTTTTAGGGAGAGAGTTGAGAGAGAGAAAGAGAAAGAGAATTGGGCCCGCTGTCTAGACTGCGGGCTTGAGGCGAGGAGAGAGAAAAAAAGAGAAAAGAGAAAGAGAAAAAAAGGGAAAGAAAGTAAGAGAGAGAAAGTGAACCGTTCATTTAGGTGGGCTAGAGTCTTGGCTTGGCTCGGTGTAGACCCTTTGGTGGGCTAAGTGATATGATGAGCTTGGAACTCCAAAGGGCATTTCTCTCTAAAAAATATTCTCTCTTGTCATTCAAATATTTTTCCATTTTTTCAAGAAAACGTCACACAACGAGGCCACATCTATTTACAGGCATCCACCAAAACATGGGTGGATGCTCAAAAGTGGACAAAATTTACTGAAAATACCATTTTTTTGTGAATTATATTTTAATTTCGTATTAATGAAAAATGACCAAAATACCCCTTTCCCACAATGCAAAAAATGGCCAATTGGTCCCATTTGAAGAAGGCCTAAGCCATGGACACCATCCGGGGGCAATATAGAGCCATCCGGCTGTAATTTGGGGGCTTTTCGGTGGTTGTTCATATTGTTTGTCGTCGTTTAAATGACACTCAAATTATTGCGGTCGTTTTAGTATTTATTTAAACCAATCCGTCTTGTTTCCGGCAAATTTTTTCATCATAACTTGGATAGAATCATATCAGGGTCATTTTGTGACAAAAATCGTCAAAATTGATAGTCATTTGAACTTGTTCCAAATTTGAAAAGTCACCGGAAAATGAGATTTTGGCGATCGAAAAACGTGACGTATTCATCTTTAAATTGTACTCAATCGGACCTTTCATTTCGCTTTAATTGTATTTGATATTCTTCGTCTTCATCCCACCATCGCAACGCATTTATTTTCATGACGATCCGATATCGAAATTTCAAAATACGCCCACTTGATCAAACACCATTTCCTTTTTTGCCATTCAATTTCGAGCTAAATTTCTCTCTACGAATTCTGCTCATCTTCTTGGGATAAATTTTATATCAAATTGTGCGACAAACCTTGCCCTAAAATTTGCGCTCGATCGGGTCTAGGATGAAGGAGATATAGTTATTCAAAAATCAATCCCGAGCTCAAAAGTATGAAAACTGGTTCTTTACAGCCTCACCATAATAGTGTAAAACCTACCTTTTTTTGGATAAGTTGGGCCTAGGGGTCAGGAAGTGTTCAAATGGGTTGAATCCAATGGTGGTGGTCTCGTGTTCATTTAAGGCCTAAAAAATTAGGGCTCTAGTTATGAGGTATTTTTCAAGGTGATAGGCGCTATTTTCGAATTGGATCTCGATCGAACATGCCTTAAACTTGTCGGATCAGGCTGAAATTTGATGAGGATCCTTAATGTACCCCAACCATCAATTTGAGGATATTTGGGCATCCAAAGAACCCCTTCTAGTGAAATTTTTGAGATGGGCTCTAATTTGATTGTTTAGAGCCTTGGATCTATATAAACTTTTTTCGTAAATAAAATAGACCATGTAAAGTATTACAAACTTATTTCTATAAATAAGGCTACAACCTTATTCAAACTGCATTAGAGAAAAACGGAAATGCATAGAATAAGACCATTTATTTTTGGATGCGGTTTCTATAAGGTTGCAACCATTAACAATCCAATTAAGATGTACCTCCAAATTTTATCATAACATGTAATTTTGGTATAAAAAATTCTTAAAATTATCTCAAAATCGATTTTTATATGTATTTATAAAATTTTAAAATTAAAAAATAGTTAAAATCAAGTAGGTCTATAAATATATGAAAATCTTGAAAAATGGACGGTCTAGATGATGTGTTGGAAGATACACTATTTATGGGACTCAAAATTTTTTTTTTTTTTTGTCATATTCATACACTCGATATCGCGATGATCAATTAGAGGGTTTTCAACATTAAAACAACATTTGTCCAATGGATTTGTTTTCAACATTAAAACAATATTTTCCAATGGATTTGTTTTCAACATTAAAGCAACATTTTCCAATGGATTTTTTAGGTGTGTATGTAATTCTACATTTTAAGGTTGCAACCTTATATAAACTTCTTTTATTTTTTGTACAAGGAGATCACAACTATTATTGGCCATTAACTGTAAAATTGGGTGGTTGAGACTAAGCACAATGTCTAAAATAAAATTTCTCAAATGTTGTGGTACACTAATTTTTTTTCAATGTTAAATACATCTATTGAAATGGCTAAGATCCACCATTGGACCTGACCATGAGCCACCTCGGCGATGAATTGAAGAACTCGTCGTTCTCGACCCCTTTCATGTGTCCCGTCCTCAAGGCCAACATCCTCCTCAGCAAGTCCATGTCCCTATAGCCCTCATCCTTGTCCGTGCATCCCTCTTCGTCATCGTCATTCTCATTCCATTTGCAGAAATCCACATCCAAAATGCTAGTCGGCGATCCAAAACTTTCCGTCTTTCTTCCCGGTGATCCAAACCCATTCAAATTCGCGGATCCGGAACCATCAATCTTTCTCCTCACCCCCTCCAAAATCGGCAATCCATTGGGTTGAAGATCCCCCTCCTCTTGTCTCCTCGGCGATCCAACTCCCTCACCCCTAAAAATTGGCAACTCGAGGCCCTCTCCCCACCTCATCGGCGATCCAAACTCCGCATCGCCGATTTCTCGGCCCGATAGAAATGGGTGCGCGAGTAGTTGCTCACACCCCCACCTCTCTCGAGGGTCCCTCTCAAAGCATCTCCTCAAAAAGTCCCTCCCCTCCCTTGAAAATCTCGCCGGGAACTCGGGAAAATCTCGCGAAAATGCGATCCTGTAAATCGCGGCCATGGGGTCCACCTCGTGGCCACCGGACCAAGCCGGTTTCCCGGTAGCCATCTCAATGACCGTACACCCCAGGGCCCAAATGTCACATCCAAACCCTAATTCCTCCCTCCTCAAGACCTCAGGTGCCATAAACAAAGGGGTGCCCTCAACTGTGAAACCCCTTTCTATGGTTTTCCCTTTGTTTATCTTTTTTGCACACCCAAAGTCTCCTAATTTTATTTTCCCACAGGGCCCAAATAATACATTTTTACATTTGAGGTCACCATGAACAATTTGATTTTCATGCAGGTACGAGAGCCCCTTCAATATTTCTCTTGTGTATGACCGGATTACCGGCTCAGCCAGTGAACCCCCGAAATTTCCCAAGATTTCGGCGAGGTTGCCCCCCGCCATGTACTCCATGAAGAGGTTCCCCCTTTTTGAGCCGTCGATCTCGGAGAAGTCGTCTCCTAAGCGCCGTACGATGTGAGGCGAGTCGATTCCGAGTAGGATATGTGACTCGTTTTGTAAAACTTCAAAAGAGGGCTTCGAGAGCGATTCGTCAGCAGATTTGACAACGAATAACTCGCCAGTTGATTTGTCCATGGCGAGGCTTACAATTCCGAAAGAACCAGAGCCAATGGGCTTTCCTCGAACCCAGGAAATGGGCTTTTTCGGACCCATTTTGAGTTGCCGGAAATTGGGGGAGCAAATTGCAGGGGAAATGGTGGTGATATGAAGGGAAATGGGGATGCGCTATGGTGAATTGGGGTTTGTGAACCCAATTCTGAGATCAAATGATACGCTCTTTTTAGATGCATAGAGAAGAAGAAGGGAATGAAATGCACTGTTGCGGATGGATCTTGGTTGAAAAACCGGTGAATTCGGCTTGAAAATCAATGTAATTGGCCGGAAAACCGATCAAATTGGCCTCAAAATCCGTGAAATAACCACAAACTGGATCGAATTCCTGGAGGAAACCAGTGAAATTGGCCAAAAGTACCGGAGATCTTCGCCGGAATCTCGAGAAGCCACTCTCACGTAACTGCAAAATAGAAGAACCCCCACCAGAGAAGAGTTGGGTCTGTTCCCCGGTGAGAATATGCGGGATTCCAGCAATTGGGTCGTCTTTCCCGGCGAGAAAATCCCCTTTTCCAATGCCGAATTCCGGCAATATGGGGCGTTTTCCTGCCAAAGAGAGGCGTGGCTTCCGATGAATTGAGCGGTTTCTCCTTTCCCTTTGTTTTCTATTTTCCAAGAGAGAGAAGAAAAATTTAATGGAATTTACAGGGAGTTTTAGAGTGCGGATTTTGTGGGGTTAAGGACACGTCCTAAGGCTAGAAAACCGCTTTATTGGATAAACGGTTAAGCAAAAATTCTTGCTTTATCCTTCAGAAAAATCTAATAAAAACCACCCGAAAAGAGAAAATGATAAAAATAACCAAAGTACCCCTATTTGGTTATATAAATTTAATTAATATCTTTTTTAACAAATTTACAAGGGTGAGAAGTATGGACACAAATAAAATCCCCCACATTGCAAAGTGATTTGAAAATATCTCTTCTACTGAATTTCATATGCAATTGGGGACTATTTACATGTCACAATCAGACCATTAAATTTGACGTCTAATGACACTCTTACAGCCACCCATTTTGAAATTGGTTAAATTTTATTTATTTATTGAGATTAAATGGTTTAGCAGATGTCATTAACAATCCTATGTCTCAAGTTCAATTCCTACCACTGAATTACCCAATAAGTTATCTATTACAAATATTTTAGGTCAAAAATCCCCAAAGGAATTTTGGCTACACAACCAAATGAACAATCCAATCTTGCAAGACCGCCATGAGACAAACCCTAGTTTTTGAAATTATAGTTATAAAGACCGAACAGGTGGTCCAATGGGTCTATCAGTACCTTGGCCGGTCTTGTCCAAGGTAAAATCAAGTTAGCTAAAATACTAGACAAAACTAAATTTGACCGGTTTTGATAAGTCAGACTAGCTAGTTTTAACGGATTCAACCAACTAAATGAAATTGGGCAATTCTTTTTATTACATTCATATTTTTATACTATTACATCTATTTTTCTTTCATTTTTTTTTTAAAATCCGGTCCAATTAGACCTGTGGTTGGATTGATTTTAATTAGACCGATCCCCACACTAGTTTGATAGCCAGTCCGATCCCCATGCTAATTTGATAGCCAGTCCAATCCTAATAACCCTGGTTTAAATGGTACATTGAGCTTCTTAACAATGAACCGAATTAGTCGACCATGGACAAATGGAAAGTGATCTTTATAGCTCATCCGTAAGGTGTTTGCTAGTGCAGCTTGGTTCAAATTTTAAATATGACTGATATAGCTCCATAACTTTCGATAAACAATGGTGGACTCGCTTTCTACAGGGTCCCCAAGTCAATGGTGGACCCGCTTTCAGAAGAGCACACACAAGAAATTTTGATTTGCATTACATTTTTTTGAATTTGTTTTTAGCCATATGTGTTTGGGCATAATTTTGTATGGCAAGAATCATGCTGATTGAAAGGAGATATTTACTTTCAAAAGATTCTATGCTGTTGCAGGAGCATATTGTCCATTGCTTTTTTTGGGTAAAACCCGATCAAGAAGTATCTTTTGGCCCCAAAAGTTTTGGGGATGTATCCTCTTCAATGCAGTGACTAGCCTCATAAAAGAAAAATGGCAAATCACACTCGGTGCTCCTGAATGAAATAACGTCCCAAGATTTGACATGTCCATCTTTTCGATGGTGAAATTTAAAGGCCGAAGAACCCAAAATCCATTGTTTTTCTTAAAATTAATCATCTGGTGATTTTTAGGTGAGTTCTAGACTTTCATATTAAAAAAAAAATCCTCCCAAGTGTCACTTTCAGATGAGGGAGCAAATGTACAGTATTCTCTCACGCGAACATATACAAAAAAACAGTAGTCTTAAATCACTTCGTCAACATGGGTTGGGAAGTGACAAATTCAGATTTGTTCACAAGAGAAATGGCATCGTGTAAAAGCTTTTGCTCTAACTCTATTGAAGGACGATCTAAATTTCTTTTCAATATCCTTTTACTTTATTTTCCAATTCATTATAAAGATTTTTTGCCATACATGTCATTTCATTGTCCCACAAACTGAAAATTATGGAAGGATGTTTTGCTTATATTAGTATGAGCAGATAGGTAATGGGGTTGAGGTCATGGTGGTAGCACTTCTTGAATCTCAGCTACCGATCTAAGTTACCATTTTCATTAACATTTGAAAACAACTAACTAAAAACGGGTAGGGCCTTGTATTCCCCATTGATATTAGGGCTCGCAATGAGCCAAAATTCTCGAGCGATCCATGGAAATGGAGGAGCATTTGCTGGAAAAGTTAACCGTATCTAGAATCCACTTTAGAAAAATAGCATGTAATTTCACTTTACTTTTAAATTTTCTCCAAACAAGATGAATATTCAACACCTCATTCATAGGTTTTGATTTAATCTAAATACCCGTAAAGTAACACACGATCTTGAGTTGGAATATTTTCATGTCTTTCTTATTGGCATTTTGATTATTTTCCCATTTATAAATGACTGAAAACACACATTTGTGCATCGTTTCTGACAACTAATGAAAGCAAAAGTTAACAGTATCAACAACAACAACGCTTCTCTAAACATGAGTTGGATCAATAGGCCTAATTGGGCACGAAATTCCACTCCACGAACGTTGATCTAGATCAATGGTCTATTAGGGACGATGACTCATTTTGGCTCATATAGGCTCGAGTCCTGGCCCATTAGGTTTTGGTGTATGATCCCTTTTTATTTTTTGTTATGAATGCAATATACAAAACCTTTGAAAAAGGTTGTTTCGTTATTAGAAAATTCTTCAATTGACCATCTTGATCTCGATATATATATATATATATAGATATGAAAGAAAAAATGAATTTTAAGTCCTAAAATCACTCCATCTTATACCACATTATCTAGACCGTCTATTTTTAAGATTTTTAAGTGCTCATAGATTTGTTAGATTTGCACCATTTTCGGAGCTTTCAATTTCATTATAAGGGTGACAAATAGACTTTTAGGCCCTTATAAGATTTTTGGCACCAAAAATACATCTTTTAATGAGATTTTGAGATGCACCTTACCGTGATTGTTTAAGGTTGTCACCTTATACAAACCTCACTCTATAATGACATGTATTGTATCCTCTATTTACATAAGCACACTTACATGTATCAGTAATTGACATGATCTAAGTGCCAAAAACACCAATTTAAAAAGTTGCCTTTTTTTCGTTTAAAAACGAACACTGGCAAATTTAAAAGATTGTTGAAAAAATTGGCTGTTCTAACCGGTAACCGCTCAATGGCCCATTTCGGTTTCGGTGACCAGCCAGGTTATTTATTATTTATTTATTTATAATAAAAATATTAAAAGATACGAGATTTTGTTTGTAATGTATTTTTAATGTTTTTCATCATTAAAAATTATATAAAATCCTAAAAATAAGGGATTTTGTTTGTAACTTATTTTTAATGTTTTTAATCATTATAGCTAAAATTGAAAATTGTTTTAGCCATTAATATTTATTTTTAAATTTTCCCAATTTTTTTAGAAAATTTCAAAAATACCCCTAGGCACAAATCAATTCTTTAAAATTCATTTTTTCTATTACTTGTAAACTTAATTTGGATGTGCTTTGTTTAATCAATCTTTAAATGTATTTTTCATATTTTATTAGAATTATTTTTTGTATTTTTTTTAATACTTTTTCACCTCCCGGGACTTGCCCGGTTAGAACGGTTGAACCAGTTGGATTACCAGTTAAGCTGGTTGAACCATTTCCAAGTCCATGTTAACCATTTCAATTCGATTTTTCCTACATCGATTGTAACCGATTATGCCAACAAGCCTTATAAGAGAAGAATCTCAGGATACTTTCTCATTCTTTACTCTCCCTTTCAAATCTCACAAGAAGTAGCCTCTTATGCAAGTCAAGTGAAAGTCATGGCAATTGGTGCCAATGCATAATAACATCTTTAGGGAATTTAATTAACTATCATTGAATCAAAGATCCAAAAGGAAATCGAATGACTGCTTTCAGTATCCAAAGAAGCATGGGGGCTCCATCAATATGTTGACAATTTGGGTGATGTGGTTAAAAGGCTAATGCAAATTACTGGAATCAAATTTAAGCTTCCAGCACCAATAATTCAAATTCATGGGCACAAATAATTTCTGTGTGTGCTTTCTAATAGTGTCTGGAATGGCTCCTTCCATTTCTTTTGGAGACCCTCACAATCCCATTACAATTCTAATGGTCTTGGCAATGTTATGATCATTCACATACAAGACTCAGGAAACATTAAGAACCTATTAGTTCAAATATTCTCTCTGCAAATGTGTTAAGATAGACGATATTAGAAAGCTTCAAATCTTTTCATTCAAAGATAGTGGTGTTTAAATACAAATTCCTAACTCAATGACTAATCCCTTGATTGTAGGGATTTTCCTAACAATATAGATATGGGTGATTATCCACATGGTTTACAGTACATATAAACGGTTAAGAGGTTGAGTGTTCATCGGCCATATCTTCGTCGGCTGATGTGGTAGGCCATGGCCTACTACATCAGCCGATGAAGATATGACCGTATCGTAATACAATGAAAAGGAGCTTGCTGACAGACCTCAATTCACATGAATATGACTTAAGAATTAGAAAAGTTATAAATGCTTAAATCTATAAACATTTCTCAATACTATTAAAAAGAAAGATACGATGGGCTTCAACTTTTGAAACAAAAGAAACTTGAAATCTTGAGTACCACCTGTTCACATCTTCATGGAGTTTGCAAGTTTGCAACCATCAATCCATGGCCACAATGATTCAACAAGAGCATTAAATTTCATGCTACTTATTTATTTGCAAACTTCCTTTGGCACATGCGCCAAGATTGAGCCCATTGAAAGGTGCTAAAAGTAATAGGGATGAGGTTAAGAATCCCTTGCTTGTACATGCTAGAAGAAGCCCAAAAAAAAGTTGAAGTGAGCCTCTTTCGACAATACTTGGGAAGTACAGACCAAACGAATGTAAGAAATATCGTAGTGGAACAGTTAATAAGATATGGGCCTGGAAGCGGTTCAGTTGGCATAACTGGTAAACTGGCGGTTCAATCTTTAATTGGGCAAGTCCCAAGCGGTCAAAAAAGAGTTTTAAAAAATACAAAAAAATCTATTAATATATGAAAATATATATTTAAAGAATGATTAAACAAAATACATCCAAATGAAGTTGAAAATTAATAATAAAAAAATGAATTTTAAAAAATGGATTTTAAAAAATCGATTTGTGTCCAAGGGTATTTTTGAAATTCTCTAAAAAAGATGGAAAATGTAAAAATAAGTATTAATGGCAAAAACAATTTCCATTCTTTGTATTGAAAATTACATTACAAACAAAATCCCTTATTTTTTGAGATTTCATATAATTTATTTTAAAAATACCTGGTTGGTTATGAAAATCGGCTGAAATCGGAACCGGCTAGTGGCCAGTTCCAATCTAAGAGAGAGTTACATGTTAGACCGCCTAATTTTTTCTGACCAAACTCTTCTGCATGTTCAATTGCAGGGACAAAAGATTAATTTTTCCTACAAATTCAATGACAAAAATAAAAAAAAAAATTAAAAAAGATTATTGTACTAACTGATAAGGAAATCAACACTACTTATACACTATCCCAATATTAATTACCACTAGTATGTATAGAATGTTGAACCTTTTTCAATATCAATGTGTCTTAGTGTCATAAGCCAATATGCTATCAGAATCTACTTCCTAAACCTAACCGCAAAAATTTAGTGTGTCACCAATCCAACGCACAGGAGGACAATTTGATTCCCAACTGCAACGGCTGCAACTTGAGCTTTTATTTATGGAATCACTTGCATGCAAGTGATATAATGCAACAGTTGTATCGTACTATAATGCAATCATATTTCTAAAAAATCGTGTTTGTGGAATTTATATGACTCAAAATTTTATACACATACTCTCATAATCTCAATAATGAATCCAAAAAAAAAAAAAAGTTCAATTTGAACCCTAGATATGGTCAAAATTAGTGCCCTCGAACAACGAATCTTCTACTATTCATTTGGTGAAATTCAAGATCTTAGCCTTTACAAACTCTAAATCATTTTTTTCTTTTTTAACATTGTTCTTCTAATGATAATAAAGTTATTTAAAAAAATTAGAAAAGAAAAAAATCCTTCTAAGGCCTAGATCTAGGCATCTTACCAAAATAGACAACCTATGTTAATTGGGCTAAAAAAATACCTTTTAAGTTATGTTGTTAAATTTTTCTTTTTTGTGGTTGTTCATTAGCATGAAAATAGTGCATATTTTAAAATTTGGATCAAACAAATGACTATAACATGGTTTTTTAAAGTTGTTGCATTATACTATGATACAACTGTTGCATGAAAGATCCCTGAGTTGGACACTCAACTCAAAGGTACTCGAGCTTGCCACCCAAGTTACTCGAGCGAGTCCGGGCTGGCTTGCTCAAGTAATCGATTACTTATTACAATTGCAATATAGATTTTCAAATCATCATAGGGTTTATGACACAAGAACCACATCTTCTACAAAAATTAAAGGTGCACCTTACTTGTGTAGTATATGGTGGGCAACTTATTCAAACTTCACCCAAAAAACATGCATGATTTATGTGTCTAGAGATACGATATCCTTTTTTTTTTTTTTAGCAGTTTAGAGATACGATATCTATGAGTGGATTGAAATAACATTACAAAGTCATATTATTAATGGAAAAAGCTTATATAAGGTTGCAACCTTAAAATGTAAAAATAAGGTACACATAAAAAATTCATCATAAGTGGTTATGTTGATGTTAGAAAACCCTCTAATTGATCATTTTGATATCGAGATGTATAAATATGAAAAGAAAAAAAGATTTCGAGTATGCAAAATAGTATATCTTGCAACACATTATATATATCGTATATTTTCAAGATTTTTAAGTGTTATAGATTTATTAGATTTCAATATTTTTTAGGTTTAAAATTTTATAATTAAAAAAAAAATGTATTTCTTGATATTTTTTTAAAAAATTTTGTACCAAAATTACATTTATGACAAAATTTAGAGGTGCACAAATTGTTTAAAGTTGCAACCTTATCCGAACCCATCTATTATTTATAATTTCAAAACATAAACACCAAAATACTTACTCACACTAATGAATGACATTATTGTGGCGCGGGTAAAAAAATATTATATATTGTGGACGTATACAGATAGAAGACTTGCCCGCACAAACATTTGGAGATTCCACTTGTCAACTATATGAGCCCTAGGGTCCACGCGTTCGATCCGCAAAAATTAACAAGTCAAAACCTATTGCTGTCATCACAACCTAGGGAATGTGAATTAGGGTTTGATCACATGCAGGCTCCATGCAGAAGCCACCACTTAGAACAACCATCCAACCATTTTATAAGAAATTTAAGGCTTTGACACGTGCTAAGACATGGTTAGGTGGCACGTGAGAATAACACGGGGATCCTATTTGGGTTTGGTGAGGCGGCGGCCTATCCATAAAGGTTGGATGGACATTGCATCCCTATAAATATGGTCCACCATTTTTTCACATTCGAATGAGAAGCACAGGTCGAGTGCAAGTCTTCTTAGAACATGGATTGGTCACCTGAGAAAGCCATGAGAGCCTATCTAGGCACTCTTAAGATGGTATACTCTCTCTCTATCTCTCTCTCTCACACACACAATATCCTCTTCTTTCTGTTCTTTTTCTTTTCTTTTTTTTTTTTTAAGAAAAAAAAGAAGAAAAAAAAGTCACCCACACTATTTCTTCTTGCTATAATTATTTATTTAATTTTTCTTTTGAAGAAGTCACCCACACACTATCTTCTTGCTATAATTACAAACTACACAGGGACCATCACATGCTCATAAGTTTTATTGCAATAGCCATTAATGCTTGATCAAATCTCAATGTCTCATGCAAAATTTCACTGGTAACTTATTGTTTTCTCTTTTCAGTGCAAGGACCAATTTTACAAGCATGGGACAAAGGGGAGCTCATCTTCCATGGAACCTGAAGGTGACCAATTTTACAAGCATGGGACAAAGGGGAGCTCATCTTCCATGGAGCCTGAAGGTGTTGAGCTCTTATCAGCCTTAGCAGCAGGAACAGAGGCCAAATTGATAGTGGAAGTGGCCACAAACCTCTCTCCATCAACTCTAGCCCTAGCATGTGCTGCAAAACAAACTGGAGGGCGCCTTATATGCATTCTTTCCCATACGAAATCCCTACCGATGCAGCAACCGCAAATAACGGTGAGTCTCGGCCACGGATCGACAGAGATCATATCAGGAAACCCCCAAGAGCTTCTACGGAGATACCACGACGTCGATTTCGCACTCGTGGACTATGCGGTGGATGGCTCGGAAGAGGCCCTTGAGGCCTTAAGCATGAACCAGAAGGGCTCAATAATGGTGGGGTGCAATCTCTTTTCTGTCTCAAAAAATGGAAATTGTGGAAAAGGTTTTAAGGGAATGGTGGGAGTGATGCTTCCCATATGGAAAGGCATGGAGATTGTTAAAGTGGGGAGTTTGAGGAGTGGGAAGAAGAGTAAGAGAGGGAGTAGGAGATGGGTTGTTCATGTTGATCCTTTAACTGGTGAAGAGCATTTCTTTAGGTCTACTAAGTGAAAAATCCTCACTGTGTCCAAAGCTCCAAGTAGGGAAATTTATCAAAATGAAACTGAAATTAACTGTTAACAATTTCACCCTTTTTATTAATTTTCAAAAAATCCATCAATGTACGCATGATCATGAGTTGGAATAGTTGAAAATGGATACTATGTCAAATAGTCCAGAAGTTAAGTGTACTTTTTATGAATTTCCCTTCTAATTTTGATGTAATTTACCCACATTCATAAATTGCATGAAGGGGGAGAGCCAACCCCTAACTTTCTTGAGAATGGGCACAAGATTCTTACATGTGTTTTGCATTGAACAAATGAAGAGAAAAAGAAAAAAAATTTGGTAGAGGCATGGTGTGTGAAATGAGGTAAACTATAGTGAGTCTTGAGGCTTTCTCTTAGAGAAACTGCAATCCTAAACAATACATCACTTATTTGGAACAAGTTGTATCACATAACATCAGTTGAGACCCCAAAATAATGGAGCAGTCACTCGGTGTTTAAAAAGTTGGACCCCTGCTCCTACCCGCTAAGGTTAAAAGGTTGGACCCCAGTTCCGACCCACCAAGGTTAAAAAGTTGAACCCTGGCTCTGACTCACCACGGGCCTGATCTGAGTCCCCTCAGTTTGACTCAGGTGAGATTGGCTATGCCATGGTGTTTCGGCCCTTGATCCCCTAGCTCCTGATCTGGTCTGACTTTGGTGAGTCCTAGGGCTGAGAATTTGCTCGTTTGGATCCAAAACCTGAATTTTGGATCATATCCGCATCCGGGTATGGATCAAAGATGTGAATCCGCCTATCGGCTCCGGATCCAAATTTTGGATCTGAATAGTATATTGGATCGGATCAAGTTACACGTGGATCCGATTGGGACCGGCCTAGTTATTAATATAATATATTATTTTATATATATACATATATATTATATAATATGGATCCAATCAAGTCTAGATTCATATCCCATGTATATTTTTTGGATCCAAATCTAAATCTAAATATTCTATATTCGATCAGATCTAGATCTAGATCGCATATATACCTTTTATATCCAAATCCGGATCCCAGTAGATCCAAACTCGATCTAAACCATTCTCAGCCCTAGTGAGTCCCAAGATGGCCTTACAATTTCTTAGACATTGCTTTAGCTGGTGAAACAAGGTCCATGACATCAAGAGAAATACTATACGGATAAACAATGGAGATCAGAGGACAGCAAAATCAGTTTTTGTAACCTGAAGACGTATGAACTTACCATGTATGGTGGCTATAAGAAAAATGACATGTGTACCTCATTGTATGATAAACAAGGGAAATTTTTTTATTAAAATTTAAAAATAGTCCCATATATTTATATGTTACCCCACTTCTCATAAGCACTCTATGATAAGAAATATAGACCTCAATTTAAGTTGAATCTAATTTACAAAATTAAATTAAATTAAAGTACAAAAATTACTCTAAAAAAGCAGGATATAAGTGCAAAATATAAAATATAGGGGATTATTTTTAAATTCCAATAATAAAAATGAGAGTTTTTATGAAAATTCCCCAATAAGGAATGATAAATCTACATGGGAAAGTTTGGTACAGCACCATGGACAACAAATTTGGATTTGGGATTGGAATTGTATACAATATTACCATTTACCTTTTGATACAAAATGGTCACAATTCCTGACAACCATTTAATGTGAAATTTGTATAAAAGGTTAATGGTTTCATTCTATACTTTCTTTTTGAAATTACCTTCTCATAAACAACTCATAGTAGACAACGGATTAACAGTAGACAACGGATTAACGTGAGTTTATCTTTGAATTTGCATAGGCCTTAGGTAGTCAAGTTTAAGGTTACAATAGGTCAAATATTAGTTCAAGCAATTAAATAAAGTTGGGCAAATTTTTTAAATATATTTATATTTTTAAATTATTCAATCTATTTTTTTTTCTTTTCTTTTTTTCTAAAATTCGGTCTAAATAATTTGATCATGGTCAGATCAGTTTTGGCTTGACCAAACCTCTTACTTTATTAAGAAATGAATATTGTCAGTAAGAAATGAATATTTTCGGGAGATACCATTAGCTAGATATGTCTCGAATAAAAAAAAAAAAATTTCTCCTTGTAAATTGTTTTCTCACCTAGTCATCAGTATGATATATTGAGTTTGGCTGGTCAATTTACTCAATCTTCAATTCATCAACTGGTGTGATCTTTATCTTGGCAGGTCAATTTAAATTTCCTACCTCTTCCCACAATCTTCAATTCATCAACCGTTGAACTCTTACGTTTGGCAGGTCAATTTAAATTTCTCTCTCTTTTCCATCCATCTTCGATTCATCATCTAGAAGTAGAGTGATAAAAAGTGTATTTGCCTTTTAAGTTCCCAACTCTTTCTGATCCAGGAGAGAGAGAGAGAGAGGTGTACAAGCCTTAGAATTTCAACTCTTTCACACCCGGGTTCAAAGTCGAAAGTGATAATGACAAAGTGGAGTTAGAATACCATTTCCTTCATACCCATTTTGAAAAAAAATTAAAAAAAAAGAATAAAAAATAAAAAATATACATAATGAAATCATTTACTTTTAATACAAAAAAGTTACAATCATAGTTGATAGTCAAATTTAAAATCCGATGGTTCAAGATATGTTATCGTTTAGGCACAACATCCAAAACAAAATTTCTTTGAATATTGTGTCACATGAAAAATGGCTAAAAATGGTTGTAACTTTTTTGTAAAAAAAAATAAATGATCTTATAGTATACAATTTTTTAAAAAATAAATACGAAAATAAAATACAAAATTTCTTGAATCAATTGCAAGAAAGAGAGAGAGAGTGGAGAAGCCTTAAAAAGGTGAAGGTATGTTTCAAGTGGGCCTCAAAAGTGGATTATGGTTAGTGGAAAGTCTCTCTTTCAAGTCACGAAGCCATTGAGAATAAAATCCGTTAATTAGGGGTTTACTTCACTAAACTTTAACCGACAAAACACTAAACATGCTTAATAAATGAATGATACATAGAATTAAAAAGAAAACAATCAGAATCAATGAATCTTCAATGAAGCCCACTGAAAGTTCTAAAGACAGATACTGCCACATTCACACAAAAGACAGATAACTTTAAGAAAATTAGGTCTCAATCTGATTCTTCTCTCTACTTTCATATTTTGTGAGAGAACGAAAACATCTCTCGCTCTACAACCTTATTCCTCTCTCTGCTTTCATATTTTGTGAGAATGAAAACCTGTCTCTCTTTTGCAAACTAAGATAACCTTTCTCTCTCTATCTCTTTTATCAAGAGGAATTTGATATCAGTTACATATCACCTCTCTCTCTCCAATTTAGTTTTAAAATAATTTGATACTCAATTACACATTAGGGAAAATTATACATATATCCGTTATAGTTTCTGTTATTATGGCTCTACCAAATAATTTCAGTTATTACCACCGTGTCTGTTTTTTTATGTCAAAATGAAAAATTTTAAAAAAATGACTTTACTTTATTGCGGTATTTTCGGTTGTTTAACAACCGAAAATACACCGTTTTTGGTTCTTACCTATCTCAAGTGATAGTTATCCGATAAAATCAAAGAGGAACAATTGAGCCCCAAAATTTAGGAGAAATATTAAGCATTATGAGATTTGAAGATTAGGAGAACTCTTGTAGTGTATTCTCACCCTACTATTTGAAGTCATGGTTATCCGATAAAATCAGGGGAACAAGCTGGTTTGACACCCTAAATTTAGGAAAAATCTCAGAGATTATGAACTTACCCAAAAAAATGCTCTCAGGTGGAGGGGAGAGAGGTAGTTAAAAAAGAAAAAAAACCATTTTTACCCGTATAATGTAGAGAGAGGGGTAGAGACAGGATACGCATACCTACAAGAGAGAAAAAATTCCGTTCTTGAAGAACAAAAAATTTAAAATTTTCCGTTATTCAAAACCGAAATTAATTCCGTTTTCGATTGTTAAACAACCTAAAAATATTTTGAATTTGGTTGTTCAACAACAGAAAAAAAAGAAGTAAGGTTATCTTTTTTAAAAAATTTTCGTTTTGACATAAAAAAAAGGACACGGTAGTAATAACGAAAACTATTCGGTAAAGTCATAATGATAAAAATTATAACGAATATGTATGTAATTTTCCCTACACACTACCCCTCTCTCTAGCCTGCTAATGTTTCTTTAGAGATTGGGAGGTCCATATTGAATTCTGAATGGGTGTGGACGCTTTTGTTATTTTTGTTTTATGTAATTTTTTTTGACAATATTGTTTAGTGTATTACTTTTAAAATATTTTATTGTGTACCTAAGTCCTACGTACTTTTTAATAAAAACTTCAACTCAAAAGATTTATACAAAACATCAAAAATAAAAAGGTTCTTTCACACTTGCTATTAGATCTGAGCTGTCTAACCCTTGCTATTTAATTACCTAAAGATAGCATTGTCCAGATTCTTGCGTATGTATCTATTTTGTGCATATGAAAATAGATGTACAACCTATAGAAATGATGGTATTGAGAGAGTCATACATGCACATGTGTGTATGTGTGCGTGCATATATATATATATATATATGAGAAATGATTTGGTTCATCCAGTTGCATATACAATAGTATTCGTCTAATAGTTTGATTAGAGGATGAGAAAAAAATGGCTGGCCACAGTTGCATGTGAGTTTTCTAATTTTAATTTACTTAAATATGAATTCACATAAAATTATATTTTTACTTTATTGGGTGCACCTTTGTTTAATGCATGAATACCCCGTGTCATGCAAAGAAGATTAAAAAAAAGAGAAAAGAGATTAATATGTGACCAAACTAAGATTAAATCTGAGCCATTGAACATACAATTCCGTCTACTGGCATACAGCAGCAAAATTTACACACACATTTTTTTTTTTTTTTTCCCAAGATTGAAGTTTCTCTCTCTTTAATCTCACTTTTTTCACTCACTAACACATGTTCCTAGGATGAAGCCCTCACAATCCACATACATTGTTTTCACCTCATCTTTGTTTATAACAACTTGATACAATAATTACTCTCTCTCTCTACATAACAACTTGATATAATAATCGCTCTCTCTAAATTTAGCTTCTCATTTCTTAATGAGCTTCCCAAAATAGGTTTGTATTTTTAACTAGGAGTAAGTCAAGAAGATTCCAAATGATATATTCTCTCTCTAATTAACTATTCTCTCCCTTAGGGGTGGCAACGGATATGGTATGGGTCGGGTCCGACTAGACCCGGACCTAGACTCTAATAGATTTGGGTATAGGTTTTGAACTTGGATCCGATCCGTCAGGTCAAAAAATTGGACTCATACCCATACCCATCGAATCTCATGTCTAGCCTATCGGGTCTCGAGTATAATGTCACCATTACTACGAGCTTATTTTTTTCTTTTTCTCTCTGCCCCATTTTTTACCATCATATACCTATATTATTGGCATCAAGATCACAATCACCCGCTATTAGATTTAAGCCTTATGATTTGTCATTTAATAGCTAAAGATGACTATTAGTTCTAATTATATATAATTCTCAATTAACTTAAAAGAATAGGTTTAAAGTAAAGCATTTTATCTCTAACAATTTATGAGTACGGATCGAGTTCGGCTGGACCCGAACCCGTATAGTGTTTGGGTGGACCCGAACCCAACCCGTGGGGTCCAAATGCTAAATCCATACCCAACCCGTGTCAAGTATATCCGGAGGTCTCGGGTGGGGCTCGGGTCCATTGCCACCCCTACTCTTTCTCTCTCTATTCGTATTAATTGGGCGTATGAAAGACGCGTCCACGGCGTGTTACAGTTAGTTTCTCTCTCTAGAATCACCTCCCTCTGCGTCTGTGCCCCAATAAGACCGCGTCATTTCAACCCCACCCATTGTTTCCGTCTTCTCCTCTCACATTTTAGCGTGTCCGTCACTTTTGCCATCAATGACTCCAGTTACACTCTCGCGTTCCATATATAAATACTTCGAAATTTAACGCCTCTGTCATTTCATTGGTCGTTTCTCGGGTTTCAAGTTTTCAACATATGTAAGAGAGAGAGTATCATTTTAGAGAGAGAGTCTCTGAAATTGTAGAGACCCATTTGAAGTTTTAAACCAGAAAGGAAATTGCAGAGACCCATTAAGTTTTAAACCAGAAAGTGTTAGAGAGAAAGACATCTTATAGAGATCCCATTTGGAGAAGAGGGAGAGAAAGAGAGGGAGAGAGAGTGAAATTGTAGATACCCATTTGAAGTTCTGAACCAGAAAGTGTTCTCCAGCTGCCCAAAAGAACAGAGTATGTCTCTGACCTGAATCTCTTGTTCCAAAGGTTGGAAATTCTTACCCAAATTGTATTTTATATTCCTTGAATTCTTGGCTTTCTCATGCAATTTTCCTTTTTCTTCGAATTAAAACTTAAAATACTTTTGCTTTCAATCTGTACTCTTTTTTCTTTGTTATATTGTTAGGAGTAATCAAGAGTACCAGAGCTTCTTTTTTTTTTTTTCCTGTGAATTCCTTTCCTCTAAATGTTAAGCTTAGTTTCTACTCAATACATTTTTCAATTATTATGTTTTTGCTTTCTCATCGATGAGTTTTTTGTAAGCTGCTTCCCCAGTTTTTAAGTTTAAGTATTTTGCACAAAATAGAAAAATTTGGACTTCTTCAATAAATTGATAATAACCCAAAAGTAGTAATTGTTGTCATATAAAAATAATAATAAAATTAAGAACTTCCATTTTTTTTAAGAAAAAAATGAGGATTTAACTGAAGGAACTTTCACTAAGCTTAGAACCTTATTTTGCAGAGGGTGGTTTTTATTCTCATTTGAGTCAATTTAGGGGGCAACGTTGTTTGAGTTGTTTGCAAGCCATTGCAATGGTGTGGATACCAGAGATTGCTGCAAATGCTTTTCTCGACACTGTTAAAATGGTGACTCTCTCCCTCTCTCTCTCTCTCTCTCTCTCTCTCTCTCTCAACCAATGTTATTTCATGTTTCTTATCTGCTTTATCACTCTGTATTTTTATATATGTTCTTCTTTTGATGTTTATGTTATTTCATGTTTCTTAATTCAATCATGCTTAATTCCATTTTTTCTGCTTTATTACTATGTATTTTTATATCTGTTCTTCTTTTGATGTTTATGATCTGTACCATGACTTTTTAAGTCAGATTTTTGTTCCTATATTTTGTGGACATGGTCTATTAACTTATTTTCTCTTTTTTATCTAATTTACATATTGATCGGTTTAGCTTCTTTTTCCGATTGAATCAGAAAAAAACCTATGTCCAATTTTAATTCTCAGATAAGCAGGCTTAATTAGGATTTATCTACTTTTTTTTTTCCTTCTCCTTTTCCTTTAATTTTAATTGAATAGAAAGCTTAGATCAATCTCAAGAATTCTACTATTCAAATTAACCAGGCTTAACTTCACTTTTTTGAGTTTCATTGATTTGTACATCCCTCTCTCCATTATCTTTTTGTTTTATGCAAGTTGACTGTAGAACAAGATCTAAGCATGTTCTTCTTAATCCTCGGCAATGATTTAAAACAATGACTAGGGTCGAGACTTGCTGGGGTTCCGAACCCAAGTCAGGAAACTCAGACTCAGCCGAGTCCATTTTAGATTGTCGGCCAAGACCTTAAACGCAAAAAGAAATAAATAGTGGGAACCGACGAGACTCAACTGGCTCCCATAGGTTACCAAAGTCGACAGCCTACACGAGTAACTCGGTTGAGTCTGAGTCGGACTTGCAGATATATGATTCACTAATCTCATGCTAATCTTTTACTCTAATATTCCGATAGTAATCAGTACATGTATCTCAAGCATATTGCATATTCACCTTCTTAATTGTATGTTAAAACATGTTTTTCCCTTTGTGACCAGTGTAAGTTGGGCTCTAAAACCAAATTCGAAGCCACAAATGAACCCAAAAGCGCAGAATTTGTATCAGCCATGGCAGCTGGTATTAAAGCTCAAACCATTGTCGAGATCTCGACAGACATTTCAATATACACAATTGCACTTGCTGTTGCAGCTAGACAAACCAAAGGCCGCTTGGTCTGCATCTTACCAGACCAGCACCCCCAAAATTCAGAGGAAGATAAGGAGTGTCTAAAAGAACTGAGGCCTGAAAGCTTTTTAGATTCGCAAAGTTCAGGAGAAACTGAATGGTTTTTACACCAAACAAGGTTCAAAAGCCTCAGCGATCCGCTAAAATCAGAGGAAAATGAGCAGCTTTTATTCCAATCCATGCTTGAAACTTTCTCAGGTCCACAAAATTCAGGGGAATGTGACCAGTCCTTGAGCAAAATCAGGCTAAAAAGCTTCACAGATTCAAATCATTCAAAGAAAAGTATCCAATTATTTCACAGATTCGGCCTTCAAAGCTATGTGGAATTTAAGTACGGGAAGCCCCAAGAAGTTCTTGAGACGTTAAAAGGCATCGACTTTTTGCTGTTCGACTGTAAATTTTATGACCCACAGGAGTTGTCTGAGACCATTGACATGAATTCAGATAGATCTATGGTGGTCGGGTTCAATTTCTTTGGGAGGAAAGAGAAAGAAGGTGGTGATTATAGCAGGGTTTTAGAGAGAAGACGTGGGGTTAAGACTCTGATTCTTCCCATAGGGAAGGGAATGCAAATCACAAAGATAGGGTATCACAAGACAAGGGTTTCAAGTATTTATGAAAAAAAGAACTGGAGGAGCAAATGGGTGGTGGCAGTTGACCAGGTGACAGCAGAAGAACATTTCTTCAGAGTTGCAAAGCCAATGGCTAAGATCTGACTTTCCTTGGTTCATCGGCTCTTTGTTAATGTTGTTATTTAGAGAGATGAAGTCCCTCTCTAAGTTTTGGTCTTTGCCAGTACTGTCGTTTAGAGAGATGAAGTCCCTCTCTAAGTTTTGCTTATACATGTATATTGTGTGCAGAGAGATGAAGTTTCTCTCTCTAGTTTTGCATAGTTCATGCATATACACCTGTGGGTGCATGTTGAAACTGCTTATACTATTGTAAAGAAAAAAATTAGTAGAAATGAATCTGGGGGACCAGTGAGCAGTTAGCCCCTTTCCAAGTAGAAACAATGTTTAGGTTCAATGATTCCTCCTTGTCCAAGTCCAAATCAGTGGCTTCTTGCACAGAATTATTTGTGGGAAACATGCACACAAATTTTGGACCCATTGACTGAGAGAGAGAGAGAGAGATTGTGGGTTGCAAAGAGGCCGGGTCTAATTTGGTCGACCCTGACCCGGCTAGATCTCGGCTGCAAACAGTTCAAGTGTAGTCCCCGTCAGATATATATAATATAACACAATATAATATGTACCTTATATATTTATGCATCTATATATCCTAGTTACCTCGGGGTCGGCTAGGCCCGATCAGACTTCAACAGAACTTGTTACCATATCTGGTAGACCCAACCAGACTTGGACGTCTAAGCTAGACTTGGACCTGGATCAGACCCGCCAAGTGATCATTGTCGGATCAACCTGGCCCAATCACATGTGCATCATTAAGAGAGAGAGAGAGAGTCCTCGCGCTGAGTCTCATATCTGTAAATTTGTTTGTTGTCGGGTAAACTGGTTTGGTAAGTGTGCAAAAATAAGCAGTGTCAGCTCCTTGGTTAGTTTGGCTGGGCAACAGTTTTTAACCAAGTTTTTAATGCTAACCAGTACCACACCATGACAACCTCATTCACAAACCTTTCCTAAATGACCCTATCATATTTAGTCTATTACTTGCACATTGCCTATAGAAGTATAAATTACGGGACTGGAGGACAAGCCTTATCTACTATTTTATCTAAATGTATATTATTATTTTATCAGCTACTTACTATATATCTTTCATTATATAAATATTATATTTATTTCATTGTTTGGCAATTTTCAGTTATTTTCAGTCATTTATTGCTAAAAATGTACAATTTATTTTAAGTAAATTAAATATAGCTTCTAAAAAGATAAACTTACATATAAAACTGTCTATAAATTTATGTTACATAATTATATAAACAATGTTAAATAACAAATAATGTATTATTATAATTAATTTTATCAAAATAGTAAATTATCAATGACAACAAGTACATCCAAACAAGCACTAAAGGGTGTACTATCACTGGTCAGGAATGTCGATTTCTACAGCTGTGTAGCCCCCAAAACCATGTTAGGAGGATTTACAAGACATGAAATTTCACAAAAAATCTCCTCATTTATATTTTGATCAGTTCCATGTTAGGAGGATTTACAAGACATGAAATTTCACAAAAATCTCCTCATTTATATTTTGATCAGTTCCAAGAAACAAAAGCTCATAGAACTATAATTCCTAGAAAGGACGATCATAAATTGCAGTAAATAGTAGGAGCCCCCCATCCAACAAATATGACCTTGGGAAAGGGTAGTATCATTCAACATCATAGAAAGAGTCAGGCTGGATCATAAAATATTCGCTTTATATTTAAACAGTAAAATGCACTGCACAGTTTGATTAGAAATAGTGATAAAATATATAAGGATTATGACCTGAAGGTATGACCTTTAATAAAGCAGAATGACAAACCATGATTCATATAGCCGATCTCAATTAGTTTGAAAAAGGCTTTGACGATGATGAAATTGACTACCAAGTCGACTAAAAATTTATTTTAGATATAAAATAGTGCAAAAAGCATACTCCTACTACAACAAACCATACATTTGCTCATTTCAGCAAAAGAGCTAAACATAAAAGTTTAAAAAAAAAATTTATACACCAAAGAATCACTACATTATTATTTTGAAAGAAAAAATTAGGATTTTAGGTATTTACATAGTTAGATCTAGCTGTCCAAAATTTGGACAATCTTGGTTCAATCTTAGGACGTTATTTTTTCCAAGGACATATGCATCCTTTTTTTGTTGGTTGCAGTTACATCCCCAAAATATGATGGCCTAAAGATACTACTTTGTCGAGTTTTACCCGATTGAGTGAACGGATGAAATGCATCCAAGGGAGCATGGAATAATCATAATTGAAAAACTCACATCTAAATATTTAAGTATGCCATTAATTGAACAATCAAACTTTCTCTTTCCAATGACTACCCAAATCAACGTTCTCTTTTCTCATTGTCAACAAATTGAAATTGTTTCTCTTCATGGAGGCCTTGAACTTCTGAAACTGATCATCCACACCTGTTTTAAACAGCTCGAAGGAGAACCCAAAATCTCGCTTTTCTACCATTTGCAATGCAGATTCCATGGCAAAATTAATCTGCAGCAGGTATTCAAATGATAAATTAGTATTCATGTGTTTTTTACTGTTACTTTGTTTTGTTTTTTTTTTGCCATATAATATAGCAGCAGTGCTGTTATAAAATAATGGACCTGATAACGGAGTGAACCATGAAACTGTCAAGAGTACCAAGAAACATTCGTGGTGCATACAATAATGTACAAAAAGCAGATCAAAACTAAACGTGTAGCTGAAATAACATGTTCTATTTGATGCTCATATTCAAATACTAGGATTATAATCATAAAACATGGACTTGGCAAAACCAACATAGGAGTTGAAATTTCATATATTGGGGCCCTTCCAGATCAACCAGGTAGTCTCATAGGTGACCAAATCTTTCACAAAAATAGCTCAAAGAGCTAAGACTCCATGGAGAGTTTGACTATCACTAAATCAAGAGCGTATTTTGGGTCCGCTATTACTCTCCCATGTGCATATTGGGTCAGTGTCATACTGTAAATCTCATGACTGAGAAGATGACAAAAGACAAGTCCTATTGTTTTGTAGTCGTTGGTGCTATTTCTTACATCAACAGTTGGGAAGGGAGGGTTGGGATACAAATCAAATTTTTTGTCACATGTAAGATGCATACACAGAGTGTATTCATGTCAATCGATCCAAGTTCTGTATACATGTAATCCCATCATTTACCATAAAGACCATTCCTCCTGTTTTTAACCCAGAATACAATGTAGATACAGGTTATTTGGAGAACTACGGACATCCTAATGCTCAGTAAGAGCACCACAGGATGAAACAATCAAACTCATATGAAAACAAATCCAGCATCTTGGAAGATATGTGAAGTCATTGTGATCCATGAGTTGTCCCTATTGACATAGGGAAATGCAAAACTATCAACATATAGCCTCAAATCACGAATGCAGCAAATGCGCATTTGCCCAAGAAGACTCCACCACCCCTAGAGGGTGAGCACATGATAGTGGATTTATCCATGGCAAAATCCGAAGGAACCAACAATCCTCAATTACCATAAAATATATCTTGGAAGCTAAAAGCAACCACAAAGGATGTAGTGTCCATACTATGATCCACTATAGATGCACTGAAGTGAGTAGAAGCAGCAAGGAAATCAGGTTCAAATGCAAAACATGATTTACTCCAGTAAGTACATGGACTAACAAGCAAACTCTATGCAGCTTCAAATGTCAAACAGGATCACGCACATAATTTCCTTACCAAATATCCATCAAAATCCCAAACTGGATTAGTTTAATGATTTTGAAAGTGTAGCAAGATAATGCAAGACCTGCCTTAAAGTATGAGAGTAACAAAAGAGGTGATAGGTTCCTTTGGGTCCAAAACTCAACATCCGACACCCATCAATGCATTCTAACACTCATCATATAAACCTCAAATGGCACTTCTCTATGCTTGAAATTCTACTTGGACTATGAAATTCTTTACTCAATCTCACATTGTCAACCATGAAAAGATAATACCAATATTCCCTGCCCCAAAGCTATTATAATGTAATAGCCTCATGAATCTTCAATGGATTCCTGCGTTAAAGATGCTCATTCAAAACTCCAACAAGGAAATAACCAAACAACACATACAAGGGAATCTGGGCAAAACTGGTCAACACAGTAAATGCTTAATCGAGAGTATAAATTGGAAATTAGAATGTCAACAAAGAGCAGGCTTCTAAATCAGTTTCTCACTCCATGGGTCTGTGGAAACAACAAGTTATGTAATCTTGTGCAAATCAGATTCATATTGAAGCACCCCAATACTATACTGACTCCATTGGACCCCAATCAAAGGCGGGCAGTGAAACCGGAGTCCACAACCCAGTTCATCCTTTCATGGATGTTCGATGGCTCAGAATTCTCTGGTGATGACTATGAGCATAGCACATTACCGATATCAAGTTTGTTTCTACCTTCTAAATTCCACAATGAATATTTAAATGTGGTTTGTATTCTAATTTTTAAAATGTAAACTGCCATCTAAGAGACTTGAGCTTGCATCCTACAAGGCCAAATATAAATTGTTCTGTCAAAACAACTATAGAAAATGTTTAACATACAAATACAATATACAAAAATTGTTTAATATATATATATACATCACAAAAAATATTATCACTGATTATGTTGGAAAAGTTTAATATACATGTACATCACGAAAAATATTATCACTAATTATGTTGGAAAAGCATATAAGAGAAACGTATGTACTTTTATTTTCACTGTATAAAAGAAATTAATATTATATTATTGTTATATTTTATAGTTTTTTAGTTTTAAATTTCATTTATTAGTTTTTGAAACTCTTTTATGATTCATGTTAAACTAAATTTATATAGAAAATTGGTACGGACACCTGAAACAAGATGGAGCCATACTAGGCTTTCAGGTTCAAGTATTAGACACCTGAGACACATAGTAGACATGATACCGATGCTGGTGTCCATGCAACACTGAGAAAATAAACATTCTGCGGCAAGGTTAGATTCTCTGATTAAATAAGAGCCTCACTGAAAATAAGAATCTTCCAATTAGTTTACATTCTCTGTGCGAAGTCAGACTTTATCTTTATTGTTTCAGTTGTCTCCAACAGAAGTATGACAAAACAAGTATGAACTCCTCTAACAAAAGGAGTATCAAGATTCATAACAAGATAAAACAATCAAATTAGGATCCTACAAACTGGTGCTTCAAACTTCAGCAATTTATAGAATATTTGCAATATCTAAAACTATATCATAGCATGAAACACTAGGATTGAAACCTACTCCCAAAGTTTATGCTTTGACGCTTTGTGCTTATATTCTTACATCAACTTAAAACTTGTGACCCTTCTTACCATCCAGCTGCCCCATCACAAACTTTACTGAGAAATATCAAGACTTAGGATAAGCTTTACCTCAATTTTCTGGTATTTCCAATGGGAATGAAAAAGATTATAATTCTGCTTCTTCAAAACCTATATCTGGTGATGTGTCTGCTCCCTCTTCTTCCTAAGGTATGCATCTCTCAGAAAAGCTTCATTGTTAACTATTTGATGAATGGGTTCCTATAAATTCTATGTGTATGTTACCCAAACACGAACAATGGGCTTTTACAAAATATCCTGAACACACAAGTTATTAGGGAAAACCATATTTATATTCATAAATAAGCTGACTTTAAGGTCTAACAAGGTTCAGTCAGGACTCACTAAGGTCCCGAGCCAGAGTCAGGTCTGATAGACTCAGCCAAACTTGTCAGAGATTCGACAGGCTCCCATGGCTTTCGTTCCACTCAAGGGAGTCCAATTCGAACTAGCCGAGTTCTGATACACTGGCATCTCAGAAAGTAATCAATGATTTTTATTTTTTTTTACAAGGTTACATAGGAATGGAACTTGAGACGTTGTGCTACCGTCTTGACCCAAGCCCGATTCCTGTGATTTCCCGTGCACCCCACAAAAGAAAAGCAATCTGTGATACTACTTGTGAAAAAGAAATGAATTTTATTCAACTTAAGACACTAAAATACATGCGGGATTGTATACAAGACCATTTACTTTTGATACAAGGTGGTCTGAAATTTGATAGATTGGATGTGTTACAAAGTTTGAGAAAATTTCTTTTGAAGTTTGAACTTGGTCAATGGAATAATTGCAGCCATCCAATTTCACATCCAATGGTCACGATTAGTGTGACCTCCTTGTACTCATTCTATACTTCCCCAATACATGTGGAGCACTCTACAATCCAAATATAAGGGAGAATATATCTTCAAAACCAAGAAGTATCAGAAATTAAATGCAATTACTCAGTTACAAATACTGTTCCTAGAAAATGAGAATTCTTCACCGAGAGATCTTCCAAAAAGAACAAGAAAGGAAAAATCAGAGTACACTGGCATTCTTACCGATCGACAAGTGGTGTTCGTCAATGCTTTGGCAAGAGGCAATATGCAGAACCTGAAATTTATAGATAGATAAAGAGACAGAGAGATAAGCAGATGCAACAAGTTTATGGGGTTTTTCATTGAAATTGAGGATAATATTCAGATAAAAATATAAGAAATTTACATTCCACGGCCACCAGAGAGAGCTGCTTCTAAGGGATCATTCCACTCGTCATATCTATAAATAAAACTGAAACTAGGGTTAGTTAAAGAAACATGAAACTGAGACATGAAAGAAGAAAAGAAAAAATAAAAATAACTAAAATAAGACAAAATTGGACCTTTAGATATTAGAAATGATACACCAAAAAAACAAAAATGGACGAACAAAATAAGCCTACATTTAAAAACAGAGAGAAAACAAATAGGGTCACGGAAACTTATTTGCAGCGAGTGAGTTGGAGGATAGGAGTTGACAACATAGAGAGATGGTTTTAGAGTATGACAGAAAAAGAGGTGTTCCATTTCAGCTAGAGAGTGAGGTGCCATTTCACTAGAGAGCCAGAGAGATTACAGCCATCCATAGCGTCGGTCAAAAATGATGCGTTTTTTAGGCTTTGGTCTTTGGCGAGGAATGGAGGCGACTGATATCGACGACGACATCCGCACAACTTTCACAAAACCAGAGAGAGAGAGAGAGGGTGCGGGAAAAGGAGGGGAGAGAGGCTCAATGGAGTCCATACACAGTAAGGGAGAATATAAGTGGAGCACTTCTATACGCATCGATGGCAACGGGGCGGACGTCGGTCCGGACTGACTGGGACCCCAAAATGATACGGGACCCGGACCTGTCCCGTCCGGTCCAATTTTCAGACCCATACCCCAATCTGTATCGGCTCTATCGCTTGGCTCCTAGGTCTGGTCCGGGTTCATTGCCGACCTTTCTTGTTTGTATAGAGCTGAGGCTCTAAACAATCACCTTAAAAAAGTGTCTAGAAATGCGGTTTCAAGGCATCTTTTTTATGGTCTTAAAATATATTTCTATTTTTAATTATAAATTTAAAATTTTAAAAATACGGTAGATTGAGCAAAACTTTTGAAAATTTAAAAATCTTGAAAATTATGAATCCAAAAATACCTTACAAGATACACTCTTTCCAAAAATAAAAATTTATTTTTTTTCTCATATCCGTGTATCTTGGTGTTGAGGCGATCAATTTGAAGATATTTAAGCATCAAAACAACGGTGAATTTTGAGATGGGCTCTAATTTGATTGTTTAGAGCCTAGGCTCTATATGAACTTTTTCCTTATCAAGAGATATAATACTCCCGGGAGGGGCCTATTTTGTCGGTATACTCCTCGGATAAAACTCGTCCAAGACTAATTTTAAGGCCCCGGATGTGAAATCTTTAACCTATATATTAACCTCAATAAAATAAAATAAAATCCTAAATACAGTCTCTATGTACTTGAAAAAATTATGTCTCTACAGCCGTCCAATCTTTAAATAATACAATCCAAGTGTCACGAGAACTCAAAATTTATTATTTTTTTCTTTTGAAAATAGTCATCTAATAATTCTTCGATGAACCTCAATTTCAAATTGAAAAAACTCTCCCAAATAAGTCTTCTGATCAAGGGACTAGATGTCCGTAGGTAGTTTCTAAAAACATTGAGTATCAAATTTAAGAAAATTTACAAAAGAATATTCCCCCTAGAGGATGGATACTTAAGGATTACATATTTTCTCTTTTATACTCATGTTCTATTTTTTGGTTTTTTCTATCCCTATATCAATTTTGATTTAGCGAAGCAAGGGAAATTTTTTTTTTAAAGTGAGAGTCGATTTGGAAACACTAGATACATAAATTGGATGTCTAAACTCAATTTCGACAAGTGGGAGGATTAACGGCCACTAAATTTCACATCCAATTGTTATGGTTAATTGTGATATTTTTGTATCAAAGTTAAATAGTCTCGTAATACACTTTTTTTAAGTCATTATAAAAACAAAATAACAAAAATACAGTTTTTTTTAAGTCAATGGACTTCCCATTCTGTTAAGTTATCCAAATTGCTAATTTAGAATGAAGCAGCCACCTTATTTCACATGCATTTGTCATAATTGATTGTGACTACCTTATACCACTTACAAATAGTAGCACAATATAATTTTCCTTAGTGTTTTAAAAGGCTATTCCTTATCAAGATCACGATCTAGATGGGGAGTCTATAAGGATCGAAATGGTTCTGTGATGGTGCCTCCCGCTTTCATATTTATTTATTTATTTTTAAATTTGTCTAATATTTTTTTAGGTTACCCCGTAAATCTCTATCCCATAATTCCCTATTTTAATTTTAATTTTATTTTTGATATATCCAATTACCAATCTAATGATCGATCCACCCCACTAATCCGGGTTTTGAAACACTACTTTTCCTAATGCAATTGGAGTCTCATTCTATCCATCTTGTATGGTGCACATGGAGTGGTTTGATATTGCTATATGGAATGGAATGGTTAATTGGGGCCTAGTCAAACTCACATGGCCCAAACAATATTTCTTATAGTATAGAAAAAGACGTATACACCTTCTCTAAATCATGATCCCAACCCTTGTGTCATATGGAAAATCTAGAAACCCCTTCCAT